AATTCTGCTATGTGTGTATGTATGTTTATATATGTATATATATATGTGTGTTTGTGCATTTTGTTTTTTGTTTTTAAAAGAATGGCAACGATTTTTCGATTTTTTCCTACTGCTGCTTAAATACCGAAGTATGATTTTTTTTTTTTTGTAGTTTACTTTTTAGTTTATCTATATCAAATTCAGCTCCCACCAAGGCAATGTATTCTGTCACTAAACAAAAAGGTATATCATGTCAATACTTAGAAGCATATGTAACAGCAATACAGTTACAGTGATCTTGTCTTATTTCTATATTATCAATGCTGATTACATCATCAAGCAGAGCAGCACAGCAGGTAGTGATGATTTATATCTCTTACTTGTTACCTTTTATTTAGGCCTGATGCCTTCACCTAAATAGAAGATATACACTTCATTCATTTGGACTAAACAGTTTTGGATCGATATCAGCTGTTGTCCAATACGCTCAGCTCAGGTACTTTAGGTTGGATCAGAGGGGGGAAGGTTGGAGAGGGACGGACAAACATCACTCTGTGCCCCAGACAGTTTACTAACTATGTAAACCTCAAAGAATCAAACAAGGTTGAAAAGAAGCTATTTTTTCCATTTCTTTCATGATAGACATACTGATGTCAGACTGTTTGCTGCTTTTCAACCTCAGCTGTAATCTGCTGATTCTGTTTTAAACCAACTTTGCTTTTTTTTAAATAACTTTAAAATTATTTTATAAAGAAAGTTGCAGTAAGCTTTTTGCTGTTTTAATTATCACCTAGCAGCAGAGTTCAAATCTGTGTGTGAGAGAATCACTAAGAGGAAGAGCTTCCACACTGAAGAGTGTTATAAACAGACATACTGTGTGTTTGGCCCGCTCATAGATTTAGGAGGTTTGCGGTCTGGAACAGCTGGAGATGCTCTAAATGTTTGTAAGGCGGGGGAGCTTCTGGTCACAGGTTGCTTATATGTTGCTGCCAAAGCAGACGGTCTCAGTTTAGAGAAAGAAATATCAAAGCAGAACTTCCAATTTCAAAACAGGTCAGTGGGTCAGTATTTGATTTAAATGCTACAAGCTTGGAGTTGTTTTATTATTATTTAATTTGATCTTTATGCAATAATAAACTCCATAAAAGTTTTCAGAAATGTTTCTGTTCCTGAGTTTGGAATGAACTCAAACAGCAGGCTAGCTAACAGGAAGCTAAGCCTATTTAATCACCTACTGACATGAACTGCCTCCACTCTAATATTTAATGCAACAAGTGTGTCTGCTTTGCTTTCGTATTCATGTTTAGCTGCTGGTTAATGTGTTTTGTTGGGGTCATTCATCCCATCTTACATCCAGAGGGGATTTACCTTTAGGCAATACTAGGCGGTTGCCTAGGGGCCCTAGTTGCTGGGGGCCCCATAAAACTCTGTTTACATGTATGGTTAATACAACTATTCCTTATTTGTGCACATTAATTATGTTTTTGATAAACATTCTTTCACTAAAATGCCATCAAAACGCTGATAATATTAAGTGTGTCTCAGCCCCCCCCTTCAGTGTCCACCATATTGGATCAGTCCATTTGCTGCACATGTTCAGAAAGCTCCAAACAGACAGCAGCAAACCATTTGAAAACAAACCATGCAAAGAGCAGTGTTGCCAACTTAGCGCTTTAGTCGCTATATTTAGCCAATTTTCAGACCCCTCTAGAACTTTGATTTGAAAAAAGCTCCTAGCGCCAAATCTAGCGGCTTTTTTCTGCTACTGGAGACTTTGGAGACAACATCTAAAAGCAGCGAACTCTGCTCTCCAGAGCAAGTAGATTGGTAACCCCGCCTCCTGCTCTCCTCTATCTTATCTGCTGTCATGATTCATGCAGCTATTATTTCATCCAAATGAAAAATGGAGAACAGATAAGCAGATCATGGCTTGTCTACAGTGAAAAGAAGGACTGGGTTATTTACTTTGGCCTTTTTGGAAACACAGGAAGGAGCAATCAGCTAAGTGAGCTTAGTGCTTGGAAAAAATCTTTCATTCCTTTAGAGACAGCATGAAAAGTCAGCTGAGTACAAAACATAGAGAGGAAAACAAGAAGAAAAGGGACAAGAAGAGAGGGACACAACCTAGAACAGATAATGGATGTCTATTCTATTAACATTTCTCTATCTGTAGAATGGGGCTGTTTTATGTGTTGTCCTCTCATCTCAGAGGGCCCCCTGCCTGTCTTTGCCTAGGGCCCCAAATTTCCCAAATCTGGCCCTGCTTACATCTACCTCTAAAGATCAGGTCACTGCTTTTGAAAATATGGATTACATTTTAGGTCAGTAAGTGGGATTTGATTTAACCATCATTGGGGGGAAGAAAAAAAAAAAAAAAAAAGAGTATGGAAAACTATTAAGATTCTCAATGTCCTTCTGCCTATAAAACTTTCTCACTGTAGAAATATCCACCATCATTCATAAGATCTGTTGGTTATTATAAATAAAGGGAAAAAAAACAACTATAGAAAAGTGTGAAAAGTATACTTAGAAAATGTGAAGGAAACTATTTTTATTTCTCTGTGTTTCTATGTGAAAGAGGAGGTTGGGTCTGTATCATCCACTAAAGGTTCGTCTAGTCTCCTCTCCTCTCCTCTCCTCTCCTCTCCTCTCCTCTCCTCTCCTCTCCTCTCCTCTCCTCTCCTCTCCTCTCCTCTCCTCTCCTCTCCTCTCCTCTCCTCTCCTCTCCTCTCCTCTCCTCTCCTCTCCTCTCCTCTCCTCTCCTCTCCTCTCCTCTCCTTTAGTCTCTTCTCCTCTCCTCTCCTCTCCTTTAGTCTCTTCTCCTCTCCTCTCCTTTAGTCTCTTCTCCTCTCCTTTAGTCTCCTCTCCTCTAGTCTCCTCTCCTCTCGTCTCCTCTCCTCTGTGTGTTGACTTTTTCTCAGAGTGGGAACATAAACACATGCTCCACATTCATCCGTGAGGACCGTTACTCTACATCTGTTCCTGCTTCTTCGTTTCTTTGTTCTGAATCTGGTGTTAAAGACTATTTTTAGACTCAGGAACTTGATAGAGGGATTTCAAAGTTCTGGACCCAGCTAGCATTGTGAGATAAAGTCACAGCTCTGAAAATAAAGAATGACGACAACCATTTAAATTCACTGTTCACCAGCTGCAGAGTTTATTGCATAAAACTGGCATTAATGATACAGTTTCACTCAATAAAATTCATAAATGTTCTGGATAAATGTTAACGGGCCCAGATGGATCATTTATAGCTATGACTCGATTGGCAGACTCCAGACTTTGACCCAACTAGGCCTCTGTAGTCTTTAACAGGTTCTGTTTTTAGTGGCTCTGCTGTTTCTCTCTGGCTGATGGAACAACTTAAAGTCTGTGACTAAAGACTATGACAATGTTGGGCATGCAGCTGGAGCAGTGGTTAGTGCGCACCGCCCATGTACGGAGGGTTCGATTCCGACCAGTGGTCCTTTGGAGCATGCCCCCACCCCTCTCATCCCCCACCCACCCCCACCCCCCCTTTCCTGTCAGCCTACTGTCAGAAAAACGAGCCACTAGTGCCGTAAAAACTCAAAAAAAGAAAGACTGACGGTGTTCAAAGAATCTAAATCTCAACATTTCCAAGATAAGATTGAAATTAGCTCCACAGTTAGCTGTTTCCATTCTACTTAAAGAGATAGACACTTGGGTAGTAGACCTAGAAATATAAAACCAACTCCAGATACATTCAATCTAGGAATCTGGCTGATGGACATTTAGCTCACGATAGATTAGCACCTAAATCTATTTAAAGAAAAAGTTCGGTCAGCAAGGAATAATCAATGGATCATTATTTATTTAGTGGTAATAAGTAAAAAAATTTGAATGATAATTTTTGTCGTGATCATGATTCGTCTGGGAGCGGCCATTTTTGCCCAAATATAGTAACCCCTCCCTCCTGCCATCTTCCAGCAGTGACGTCACGGTGCGGTAAGCCTAGCGCCATTCTCCCCACTTTACAAGCTAAATCAATGGGAACTACTAGACACATCTGCAATCAACAACAATTATTGAAGATTTCCAGAGGACTTCACCACTGAAATTCACCAGAGCTATAGTGAAACTGACAATGCCCACGTGCATGGCAGCTGGATGCTGGAATACATCGGGGAAAAGTGGAAAAAAAAGAGTTATTCCACCTTTCTGATTCCTGATCCTCCACGGACGGGTTGGTCGTTGGATCGCCAACTTGAAGAGGGAGGATTTGCCATCGAACTTCTGGCCAGAGAAAAAACCCGTAATATGTAGCCAACATTTGGAAGAATGTTTTCAAGATGACTTGGATAATAGCGCATTGTGACAAACACCAGATACAGCACTGGGACTTGATCAACAGCCGATACCGCACCGTGACGTCACAAACCAGCAGGTGGCAGTAGTGTTCTTTGACAAACATGGATGCCTCCAGTAAAGCACATTCACATGAAAATTACTCTGAATTAAAAACACTTATCATTTACTGAACAGTGGTTAATAATTTCATATTTAAAGTATTTTCAGAAGTTTGAATTCTGAATATGACCGAACTTTTCCTTTAAAACCAACGGAAGACTGAATTCTCCAGTATGATGCTGGGGATTTAAAATCAAAGGCTATCAATGATTAAAAAATTATTTGTGGTTATTAGAATCAGGATTATTGTTTTTTAATGTCTTATGCCTTGCAATCAAAACTGATTCTGTAAAATGAAACGGATTGTGGACGGATTTGGATCAGGCTTGAATATTGTTTGATCTGTCAGCTGCAGATAGAATGAAGCTCAGTTTTTTCTCTGAAGGCTGTTTTTACACTAGTTTGAGTGTGGAAAGAGTTTATTGATGGTAAAGATGGAAAATCACCCTGAAATCCTTTGCTGAAGTGTTTTTAGGTCAAACATATCCCTGACATTTATCTTTATCTACATGCTTGCAGTACCCATGATTGGCCACTAGGTGGAGATGAAGGATCTGCTCTAACTGACTGCTTCCATTTCTTTGACTCCTCAGATGGATCAGCTTTCAGATGAGGAGGTAGAGGTCAGGGGGGAGGAAGATGAGGAAGAAGAGGACAGTGATAAGGACGACCAGGACCTGGATAAGATGTTTGGAGCCTGGCTGGGAGAACTGGACAAGCTGACCCAGGTACAGAGCAGGATGTGGATCTAATCCCTGGCAGTGGTGGAAATGTAAACTTAACTCCTCCATGTGTGCAGAGCTTGGATGACGGCCGTCCGGAAGGTTCCCCTCAACAGAAAGCTCCCCTCAGACAGGAGACCAACATGGCAAACTTCTCCTACAGATTCTCCATCTATAACATCAATGGTGAGACGTACGTCGATGTAACGCGCCGCTCTGCTGCCTGCAGTCCATCTTCATTCATGTCTGGTTTGTGTGCAGAGGCCCTGAATCAGGGGGAGAATGTGGACCTAAACGCCCTCATGGCCGACCTCTCGTCCATCGAGCAGGAGCTCAGCACCATCAACACCAAGTCCAGTAGCAGCGGAATGGCCCGGCTGGGACTCACAGACACCAAGGTGCCCGTCTGGTTTGTTGTTCATTATTTGGAGTTCTTCTCATCTTGCTGCAGCTTTCAAAAACTCTCATCTGGTTTGCAGGTGAGGCAGAAGCCTCCGGCTGGGCGCAGCAGCAGGCAGCCGTCGACAGGGGGCGCCAGTGCTGTTAACAGTGTCTCTGGTGGGGGGGGCAGCAGCGGGGCGAGCAGCAGCAGCAGCAGCACCAGAGCGTCTCCGGCCGGAACCATCAGAGCTCCAAGCGGCCAGCAGGGGAGGCCGGCGCTGGCGTCCAACTTCAGCCTGGATGACATCACGGCTCAGCTGGAGAAGGTTTGATCCCTTCATCCGTCTGACGCCAACCTGAGAGATCGGGACATTCCTTCCTTCCTTCCTTCCTTCCTTCCATCCTTCCTTCCTTCCTTCCTTTTCCTTTCCTTGATTCATTTCTTCCTACCTTCCTTCCTTCCTTCCTTCCTTTTCTTCCTTCCTTCCTTCCTTACTTTTCCTTGATTCATTTCTTTCTTATTTTCTTTATTTCTCTCCTTCATTCCTTCCTTCCTTCCTTCCTTGATTCATTTCTTTCTTATTTTCTTATTTTCCTTCCTTCTCTCCTTCTCTCCTTCCTTCCTTCCTTCCTTCCTTCCTTGATTCATTTCTTTCTTATTTTCTTATTTTCTTTCTTTCTCTCCTTCATTCCTTCCTTCCTTCCTTCCTTCCTTGATTAATTTCTTTCTTATTTTCTTATTTTCTTTCTTTCTCTCCTTCCTTCCTTCCTTCTATTATTAGAAACCTTTGGTTTTTCAGTGCAGCCCTTGTATTTCATTCGGTTTGTGAACAGAGAATGAAAACTCATCACATGATGACTCATGTCTTCCTCTGTCCTCAGGCGTCTCTCAGCATGGATGAAGCTGCACGACAGACCTCCTCTCACTCTCTTAGCTCCGCCTCCTCCTACACGTCAGCCTCGGTGCGACGGCCAGGATCCTCTCATCGTCAACATCGACGGACTGGATCAGTGGGCACGGTCAGCGAGCATGAGGTAAAAAAACAACATTACGTCTGTGGAAGCGTCTCAGCCTCAACAAAACAGGATATTTTCAGACTGGTGCTCTTATTTTTCCTGTTTTTCCTCTTCAGGTGCGTTCGTTTGTCCACTCCTCCCGCTCCTCTGTCACATCAGCGTCCGGCATCTCTGTTAACTCCGCCTCCTCCATGGATTCCCTGGACAGCGTCCTGCACTGTCAAGCTGATGGCCCACAGCCGGGTGAAGGAGCCGGTCAGGGGCATCCAAACGCAGAGGTACAGGCTGGAATAAGCAGGCAGGGCGCTCTGTTGTCTGGAGCTAAATATGGAACAGAAACCTGTTAATTACATCATTATAAACTAAAATCAATGCAGCTGATTAGAGAAAAAGTCATCGTGATCTAAATTTTAGTGCTGAGTCCTTCCCAAACAGGAGTACTCACTTTAATCAGCATGACCACTGAATGATGCTTCACTGACACCTGTCTTTAAACTGGGATTATGGGCCCATTAGGAACAGAATAAGTTAATCCATCAATAACTGCACTCATAGAAATGATTAGCAAGCGGCGCTATCATAGGGACTCAGAGGATGGAGAACAATGGAGGGAAACCCAAATAAGAGACGCCAGTTCCCTGTAGGTTCATTAAACCCTGGATTTATTAATCACATTAACGCTGGAATATAAAGATATTGGAATGTATAAAAACAGTCAAAGGTTTTTACTAAAAGGCTCCGGAACATTTCAAAATAAATTAGCTATATTCCTTAGCATATTAATAATAGGACTGGATGGGTGTATAGACTTAAAATCTAATCACTACAGCCCAACATAAACAGATTTACTCATTTAAAACTGGCTTATTTAGGACACCAGCTGTATAAAAAAGTCTTATTTTTGTTATCAAACAGCACACAGTAAACCCTTTTTATATTTTTTTTCTTTAAATGTGTCAATGCTTTATTTTAAAAACCATAATAATAATAATTAAACTTTATTAATCTCACATTGGAGAGTTTACCTCTGCATTTAACCCATCCCCTTTGGGAGCAGTGGGCTGCCATCGTGCGGCGCCCGGGGAGCAGTGAGAGGTTAAGGATCTTACTCAGAGACCCAGAGTCAGGGTTCCCGCGGGTCCTTAAAAAGTCTTAAAACGCCTTGAATTCTTCTAAATAAAACTAAGGCCTTAATTGGTATTAAAATGTCTTAAATCAGTCTTCCGTAGGTCTTATTTTTTAAAACATCATAAATAGGATTATTTTTATTACGATTTATTTTTGTAATCTAAATAAAACCTTGAAATTGACGATTTTTTTTTTTTTCATAAAAAAAAATAATAATAGCTCGCCATTATTGGTTCCATCCCGATAGCGGAACCAATAAAAGCGTTGTTGCGGCCGGGACATTTGGGAGATGCACCGTTAACTTTTTGTCTGGAAAATATGAGCAAGTGTAAATGTAACATAAATTGTCTCCAGCCAAGAGTTTTCTCCATGGCTAAAACCAGGGAACATACATGAGGCTCAGTGGATTTATGCAAGAAGTCATTCAAGCTCAGAACGATGGGAATTAAGGCAGGGGAGTCGCACATGCGAAGCACGAAACACAAACCGTCAAATACGAGTTACCGAGAAACAGCCGGTATTTCTCAGTTTAGTTCCACCCTTGTCTCTGCAACGCCTCCACTTATCACCAAATCAAACATACTAAGAAAACCATACAAAGAAAAATAGCTGCTAAAAAGACTTAGCACTGGTTATGTTGTGGCTTTAAAACTGATTTGTTTTGTTCCCTGCTAAAACAAAGTTTGTGAATTCAGCTAAATAATTGTTAAAATATATCTGACATTGGTGTGTTTTAGCTTTCTTCCTGTATGGGAAGCTTTTCAACATTTGAAACATTAGTGCAGTGGTTTATGTTAAAATAAACCTTTGGGTTAAGTTGTCGCAAGCAGGATTTTCTTGTTTCTTGTGAATTTGGTCTTAAATTTTTATTTCAAGTGGCATTAAAAAGTCTTAAAAGTCTTGAATTTAACTTGCCTTATGCTGTAGGAACCCTGCAGTGTGGAAGTCTGTGGGGTTTGGGGCTCGAACCAATTCAGCCATGTTTTTTAAAGATGCGTATTTAAATGACAAAAAATACCAAAAACCAGATGATCCTGATAAAATGAGGTTATATGCAGAAAACTTCCATCCTGATGGTGTTTCTATGGTTCTTTTTTAGCCTGAATAGAATTCCAGCTCTGTACAGGATGAGCAGGCATAAACAGTCATGGCGCCATCTGCTGGCAGAACCACAGAACTACCAGAAAGCCAGACGGAGAGAGAACTGATAATAAAGTCTGACCGTCCTGCAATGCCTCACTGTAAGAAGTGAAGACCAACTGATATTCTTTAAATAAATGGAATTACAGCAGTTCAAAGATCTCAAACTAAGACATTTTTTTAAATTACAAGAATAAATTCACAACATAAAAATGAAAGTTGTTCAATTGGCAAAAAAAACTCAATATCATGAGAAAAAAAAAAAGAGTTATTAAGATCTAAGGTGATGAGATGGGCTGAACTTTTGAGGTTCTTTTCCATAAAATTAAGACTTTACTTTTAAAATTTTACGACTTTAATCCAATTTACCCAATGTTACGACTTTGGTTATGTAATTTGAAAAAACATTTTTGTTGCATCACGGCAATGAAACAAAATACAGAACAAAAATGAATGTCGAGAAATCCTACACACCCTAAACGCACCAAACATTTTACTCTACGCCTGTTTTCTTTGTGATGCTTCGATTTAAAAAAAGCAATTTCGTTGAGAAAAAGCTTTATAGTTTTGATCCAGGATAAAGCTGATTAAAAGCTTTGCTGGAGGTAAATATTCCTGATTATAAACCAACATAGTAAAAGCTCATCTATGATCGCTCGTCAGCTGCACAGTGATGGTAGGAATAAAAGGCTGAGAACAGTTGGAGCTCCCTGCTGCAGACACACTGCATTTTATACCATTGCTTTTGTTTACTATTTGTTTTGAATTTCCAAGCAGCCCGTACTGGGATGGCAAATAAAAACCAGTGGGAACCAGCTCAGACTTCAAGCAGAAAACCATCACTTAAGGAGCCTTTATGCTGCTGCAGCGACGGATCATCTAGTTACACATTTTAACACAAAACGCCTTAAAGGACAGAACAATTCAGTTCAGTTTATTTCTATAGCACCAATTCCCAACACGTCATCTCAAGGCAGTTTACAGTTCACCAGATCACACAGTCAGTTTGGTTCAAAGTTTTCAATCCCTCACATCAAGCATGCTTGTAGCTACAGTGGAGAGGAAAAGTCACTTTTAACAGGAAAAAAACCCAGAAGAACACCAGCATCTATAAACAAAGGTGTTGATGGCAGCAGCACAGCTGATATTTCTCTCCAGGATGGAGTCACAGCCAAACAGGAACAGACCAGATGAAGCTACTATGAGAAAAAGCAGAGAGAGCAGAACGTTAGAGATTGAAATAACAGATTCTGCAGAGTGGGAGAATAGAGATAGAATGAAGCAGAATGATGAAATGGGGGTCCCTATGTCCTCCAGCAGACTAAGCCTATAGCAGCATAACTATAGAGATAGCTCAGGATAACCTGAGCCACTCTAACTATAAGCTTTATCAAAAAGGAAAGTTTTAAGCCTAGCCTTAAAAGTAGACAGGGTGTCTGCCTCACGGACTAAAACTGGTAGTTGGTTCCACAGGAGAGGAGCCTGATAACTAAAAGATCTGCCTCCCATTCTACCTTTAGAAATTCTAGGAAGCACTAGTAAACCTGCAGATTGAGAGCGAAGTGCTCTGTTAGGAACATAAGGAACAATCAGATCTCTGATATCAGATGGAGCTTGGCCATTTAAGGCTTTATATGTGAGAAGGAGGATTTTAAATTCTATTCTGGATTTAACAGGAAGCCAATGAAGAGCAGAAGTTCTTGGAGAGACTTACTGAAGAGAAGGAAATCAGATGTTTTCTGCATAAGTTCACACACCTCCAACTTTCTAACATATCTCAGTTTTAAAGCCAAGGATTGGATTTTATGGGATTGTTTGTGATGGAGCAACACAGAGGAGGTGCTGCAAACAAAAGGATGACCCCCTTAAATAAATATACTGTAGAAGAATCCATAAAGGAAATCTTTGAGGCATAAAGCTGAATGATTTGATTTAAACATAAGCTTAGGACAGAATGGCCCAGTCAAAGTCACACTCCTTCCCATCAGGCGAACTTCCTGCCTCTAGATATTCAGATTGAGACAAACTCTGAAGGTAACTAATGAGAAAGATATTTCCACCATACTGTGCTTCTTCTGGGCTTTTATGTCTCTCTGTTATTGATCCATTTTGTCAGACATTGCTCTATATGTGGAAGTCAAACATTTGCCAACATAAATAGGCAAAGTCAGTCTAATTCTAACAAGCTTAAAAGCAGAGCGTTAGTCCTTACAAACCTAAACCAGCTTAGAGAAGCTTTCCTCTAAATTCCTTAAGCAACCTTCATGAATACAAAATGAAAGTAAGAGCATTTGGCCATCACTCCCCGTCTTATTCGAGAGCCTGTTTGGCTGCAGAGCTGCGCTGCAAACTGAAATTGTGTTCAGCGAGCTGGAAAGCAGCTTAGTGCTTCAGCCAAGCTGAGCTGTCGTTGACACAAACAGGAGGACTGGAGAACAGGGAGGCAAACGATGAGCAGTCAAGGAGAAGATGGGGGTGATTCAAATGAAGACAGAAAGGTAAATGCTCTGTCTGTTTTTTCTCATAGTAGCTTCGCCTCGTCTGGTTCTCTCTTCATCCTGACATTGGAGCTGACTCGGAGATCACCTGCCTGGCTGCGTGTTTCCTGGACAGGGCCGCCTTTTACAGTTGCCGTTTGTATCTCTGCTTCTGTCTCCTTGAACCCCAGTCGGCCTCAGCAGATGGCCGCTCACACTGAGCCTGGTTCTGCTGGAGGTTTCTTCCTGTTAAAAGGGAGTTTTTCCGCTCCACTGTCACTACAAGCATGCTTAGTGTGAGGAATTGTATGTGAGTCAATCAGTTGATGCAATCAACAGTTTTTTCTTTGTCAGGAAACTTTTATTCAACTTAACTGTATGATCTGCTTGAATTTTTAAAATGCCTTGAGATGACATGTGTTGTGAATATAAATAAATTGAATTGATTTAAAGGGGCCTACTAAAAAGCACAGAGAGCCAAAAGCAGGAGCTCTGTTCTGGGATTGCCTTTCTCGTTCCCAGCTCGTTGGGAACTGGGACTCGGAGAGCCAGTCTGGATCTCGCTCGCTCCCTCTGATCGTCTATTAAGGCCAGTAAAAAATAACCACAGTTTGGGACAAAATGGATCCCAAAGCGACTGCAGTGATTCTGGGAATTTCCCCGGAGAAATGTGGCTTTGGTCGCCATCAAAGGGAAATCTGCTGGGCCTCAGGGAGCTTCTGTGCCATCACACAGGAGTAGCAGAGCTTTCAGAGAAGATATCAGTCCAGATTTTTCACAATTTTTAACTGCAAGTGGTAAAAAGTGTTTAGTGCTTAGTGTTGATGGACTTCTGAACATTTATCCTGATTTTATAAATGACCATCAACAAAATGTTATTTCTGTTTCCAAACAAATATTCAATTCAATTCAGTTTATTTCTATGGCGTCAATTCACATCATGTCATCTCAAGGCACTTTACAGTTTAACAGATCATCCAGTCAGATTGATTCTATCAAAGGAAAACCAGTTGATTGCATCGACTCATTGACTCTTCAGCAATCCCTCACACTAAGCATGCTTGTAGCGACAGTGGAGAGGAAAAACTCCCTTTTAACAGGAAGAAACCTCCAGCAGAACCAGGCTCAGTGTGAGCGGCCATCTGCTGAGGCCGACTGGGGTTCAAGGAGACAGAAGCAGAGATAGAAAAAGAAGCATAGATACACCCGTCCAGGAAACACACAGCCAGGCAGAATATCTAAACCATATTCAAGTCGGCCCCTTTTCCTGTGATTCCTTCAAATAAAGTCCTCTGATCCACAGGCAAACCTTTTATAGAGTTTAGTAAACCAGGGCAGGCGGATCCTGCCTGAAGGGAAAATCTGAGCGTGTGGACATTAGAGCAGGATCTGTTTGACCTGAATATGATTTTTAATCTCCGCACATCAGAAGAGATAAAAACTTTCTATGAATGATTTATAGTGATTTAAGCCAAAGTAGAAGCTTAAAGAGCCGAGAAATCTCTCTGTCTGAAAACCAAACCCAGATCCCAGACGGTTAAAAGATCAAATATGTGGAATATAGACCCTTTAAAATATAAGCTGTGCTTAAACACTGGCCATCATTATCAATTAATCATATGCACTTGCAACAATATATGCATTTAGCATTATTTCCGTAAATTAGTGCTAATATAAGTCTGAAGGGTTCAGATTCATCTACTTCTGAACATTCCGGATGATCTTTATGTAAAACTCTTCACACTGTAGCTTAACACACTCAATAATAATCTGACAGCAAACAGAAATGTTCCACTGTAATGGTCAGAGAGAGGAAACCTAAACCTTTCATAAAGAACAAGTTCTTCACATTAAGAACAATATGAATCTGCAACTTAACCCCCCCATTCTGTCACCACTGATTAATATTAAAGGAGAAGTCGAGTCAACAAGGAATAATCAATGGATCATTATTAATACCTAAAACTAATACGTTCACGGTGATTGAATGAATTTGGTGTTAATCAGTAAAAAAAATAATCATTTATCTCATTAACACTGATTCAGGGAGCGGCCATTTTTGCCCAAATATAGTAGCCCCTCCCTCCTGCCATCTTCCAGCAGTGACGTCACGGTGCGTTAAGCCTAGCGCCATTCTCCCCGCTTTACAAGCTAAATCAATGGGAACTACTAGAGACATCTGCAATCAACAACAATTATTGAAGATTTCCAGAGGACTTCACCATTGAAATTCACCAGAGCTATAGTGAAACTGACAATGCCCACGTGCATGGCAGCTGGATGTTGGAATATATCGGATAAAAGTAAAAGCCAGTCGGCCTCAGCAGATGGCTGCTCACACAGAGCCTGGTTCTCCTGGAAGTTTCATCCTGTTAAAAGGGAGTTTTTCCTCTCCACTGTCGCTACAAGCATGCTTAGTGTGAGGGATTGCTGAAGAGTCAACGAGTCGATGCAATCAACTGGTTTTCCTTAGATAGAAAACTTTGAATCAATCTGACTGGATGATCTTGATAACTCTAAAGTGCCTTGAGATGACATGTTGTGAATTGGAGCTATAGAAATAAACTGAATTAATTGGATTATGCAGCTCAACAGCCGGAGCATCAAATGTCCCGAGCATCGACCTGAAAATGCACAAGCATCCAAGTTGATGAGTTGGATGCCTTTTTAAAACCCAAAACATGTTTGGTGTGAAGGTAGCAAAAGGAAGATGTTCATAAAGAAAGATTGAGTTGTTTTCATCCAAAGTGTAGGAAGTTGAAAGAAATTGTCTCCATTTTGGTTTCTTACTCTACTTGACTTCAGAGAAGAACCTGAACTATTGGATTAGACCTGACAGTGTTTGCTCACTTTGTCCCTAACGTCTCTGTTCCATCCTGCAGGATCCCCCAACACTGTATTTTCCTCCTACCTGGTTTCAGTCTCTGAACACTTCATCGGTGCATCCGACCTCTGCTTCGCCACACAGCTTTCTGCTAAACCACCTCAGCCACTCCATCGAACAATCAGCCAATCAGACAGCAGATTAACTCACAGAAACTCTCTGTTCTCTGTCTCTTTTTAAAGCACTCCTATCTGGACAGGGAAACCTCTCTGATTCTGAGAAACATTGCAGGAAAACCCTCCCACCTGCTGACCAAGGTGACTCTCTTCATTCACTTCTGACTCCTCCCCTCATGCAAGCCTCCCACCTTTCTGCTGTCATTTCATTCTTGCATGATGCATTAAGGGCATGCACATCTCCCTTTCCTTCCCCGTCCCTCTGCTGTGTTATTTTGTCTATTTGTTGGTGCTTGAACCTGTCCAGCTGGTGAACCATCTCAGATTCCCTCTTTTTCTCTGTGTGATTCCTCAGTTAGACCCATTTATTAACGTGTGCCCAGGTCTCCTTTAAGCATCTATGCTGTGCAGCGCTGCTGAAGCTTGCCTCCATGAAGCATGAGGGTTTAATTGTAGTGCAAAGAGACTGAGTTAAAGGGAATTGCATGTGTGGTTATATAGTAGAGGCCTGATCACACAGGAGTGGCCATACAGCTGTACAGCATGTCACTATTATCAAACAGCTGGAAGCAGACAGGAAATTTTAACCTTTTCTTTTTACTGTCTGACGAAAACTTTCTGGTTTCAGGTCAGTCTGGATTACTTTAATTATTTCTGCTTGAAAAATCCCTGAAAAAAACATGTTTAGAACCGTTTTACACTGCAAAAATGATCTAGAAATGAGTAACATTTTCTTTAATTAAGTGTATTTACCCCTCATTTGAGTAGGTAAATATGATTGTTTGCCAATGGAATGAGTTTTTAATCTTAAAATAAGATCATTAGATAATAGGCACCTGAAGTAAGACAATAGTTTTTTCTTATTTCAAATGTAAATGGTTCAATTGGCAAAGTGTCTCACTTGCCTCCTCAAAGCAAGAAAAAATGCATGTATCTAAAGAAAACTATATTTTGAGATTTCATTTTTTTGCAGTTTGTCTCTAGATTCAGATTTTCTCTGTATTTAGTGGAACTTCACAGTAAAAACGTTCTGAAAATTAGTAAAAATCTCTTAAATTAATTGTATATGCCATTCATTTGATTAGATAAATCAGATGATTTGCCAGTGGAATGAGAATATTTCCTCTTAAAATAAGATAATTAGATATTATGCCCGTGAAATATGAGACTGCAGTTGTTTTTTCTCTCATGTTAAATGTAAATTGTCTTGTTCCTTTGGAAAAGTGTCTCAGTTACCTTCTCAATTGAAGAATAACAAACTTATTTTAAGAACTTTGCGTTGCATCAGATGTTTACAGTTCCTGACAGAACTGCCTAACTGCTGTGGTTTGGAGGCTGCTTTGCTTCAAACAGTTCTGACCGCCAATCTTCTATGGGCTGAATTCAGAACTTGAGGCTTTATTAATGAAACATTAAGTGTTATCGTCGCGATACCTTCAATATGCAGCCAAACACTCCCACAGCATGATGCTGCCACTCTCATACTTCACTGTTTGTTGTTTTAAGGCATCCTACTCTTGATGTAACCAAGGTGGTTTTGGTCGACCTTGAGATGAAATTGCTATCAGTATGTTTTTTAATGTTATGTGATGGCTTCTTCCTCTCTGAGTGGCATTCAGGTCCTTTTAGTGGAAGACTTGTAGTTCCTACTGATCATCTGTTAAAAACCTTTTAATCAAAAGGACAGAGACCTCTTTGGTTCATTTATAAAAACTGAATAAATCACTTTTATAAATTTGGATGAGAGGCTAAGTTCACCATGACATCATCAACTTATACTTTTAGCCTTTATGAATGTCTTACCGAAAAAGTAATAACAAGATTTTCTATTTCTAAATGAATGTAATCATTTAGGTACAGGGGCGGATCTAGGACTCTAGGAGAAGGGGCTTAGCCCTGAGGGTGAAGATGAGAGTAGACTTTCCGGTAAATCCCGTTCTAATGTAAAATATGGCAGATTACTGGATTAAGGGAATTTCTAGTATACTACATGCTATCACGCATTAACATTTTTTAGAATTTGGAAACAGCTGCTCTTTATTTCCCAAAGATATGGGAGGAGGAGAGGAGAGAATGGATATTTTAGCTGCCTGAAATAATCCGTTCCCCTCCATAACATGGGACGAAATAAATTTACCTGCAAGTCTTTAACTGCGTTTATTCTTCTCTTCATCAACAACAAATCCTGTGGATTTGGTGACATTTGATCATTATATGGCAAAGTTATGCAAGAGAAATCAAATATTTTAGCCTCCTGTTATAATGATTGATGGGCGACCTGTCCAGGTCGGACCCCGCCTCTCACCCGTAGAGAGCTGGAGATGGGCACCAAAAACTCCTCATGACCCCGCTGGGGATAAGGTGACCGAAAATGGACGGATTGATGATATCTAGATGATAGAAATTATTTTAGTAATCCTGCCTGACCTACGGAACAAAATATTATGCAAAATGTTTGATTATTTCAAACTGCATTTAGAAATTAAAAGGTTTAATCATAGGCTGGGTGTTCACACTCCTGCAGGTAAGTGAAATAGTTCATACTTGTGTGTCTGGTTCGGTCGCCTGGTATTCATCATGGTGGGATTTGTGTTTCCCCAACAGGCTGTTGTTGGGGTTTTAATTTTCACCTGGAGATTTTAGAGTTTGTCTGTTTGATTCCAGCTTGCTGCACTGAAACCGCTACTTATGGAGGAAAGTCGCCCGCTGCTGGTGGGGTTTGTGGAAAGCAGATCCTACAGTAGCAGCCATTCAAAAAGGCCCTTTCCAGTCGCCAGCCAAATGGCAGCCCACCTCCCGCAACTCCCAGCCAATTCCACTCCAACTTCCAGCCACTGGCCTTCTCTTGAGCGTGCATATTTTTTTTACTCTGACTCCACCCTTTCGCTAAATAACAGGGTCTGACCAGGAGATGACGCTTCTCTTTAGATCTTCATGTCCACAAATCATGACAGAAAGAATATTTTAGATGTTTAAAAAGGAATTGTAGAGGACCAGCCAAGGGCCCATCAAGGAAAGTGGGTAAATGTTGAACGGTTCCTACTGTAGAACAGAACTTTAGAAATGAACTCCAGCTTCTGTAGAAGCTGGATCTGTGGGATTATCTCAGCCAAGCTTCAGTTCGTTATAGACGCTGTTTTCACCAAGACTTATGCTGCCATTAGATTAGATTAGATGAGCTTTATTGATCTCACAGCGGAGAAATTCACTCGTCACATATTGGCACAGAAGTTATAGAAGGTGCAAACAAGGAGGAAAAAGGTGCATTAAGATTAAGAAATATATATACAGTATATCAAGATAAATAAGGATTAAGGTGCAAGTGTACATGTATCGCACACAATGAAAAAAAAAATTCCTGTTTGGACTGTCTCATAGTGTGAAGCAGTTCCAAAGGGAAATTGTGGTTTATTTGCATTTATGAATTACATGGTTGTAACAGATAATTGTGGCAATTTGAGGCATGTGGAAACTTTGGAAATGATAAACTAGACAGGCTGGTTCAATTTAAATGCTATTTTTCATTCTATTTAAGCCTTATAAAGACAACTAGAAGCATTTATATGATGATAAATCCTTTGGTTCCACTTTTCCAGCCTGGGAGAAAGACTCCTGTCTTCACTGTAGGGCTGAAAATAACAATTATTTTGCAAATCGATTAATATGTAGATATTTTTTTTCATTAATTGATTAATAATCAGATAGCCAAAGGTTCCTCAAAGATTAATTTTTACACAAATTTAACCAGGTGGAACTAAAACGATTCCACTTGAAGAGTTCTGGATAGAGCAGACTGACATCATCAGGTGAGTTTGTCCAACAAGTTTGATTTCTGTGGAGATAAACAGCCGACCTAGAAGGAAATATTAAAAACCTTTGGCATGGTCTAAAAACACATTTTTAAAGGCTTGAAAGAAAAAAAGATGCTTCTTTTCTGGTGCTAATATTAATATTTACGCTTTTAGCTTCTAATGAACCGCTTTCTGGTTTGCTTTTCTATTATGACATCACAGGCATAGTGAGTTTTCTGTGTTTTCATTTAGAACGGTACATTTAGTTATTGGAGACGCAATGTTTGACCTCAGATGGTTCCCATGTTGCTTCGGTGCTTCGACTGTGAGTAGCACTGAGCGAAGGGAATGTGCTCAGTTGGGTCATGAGTCGCTGGAGCTCAGCCAGTTGCAGTAATGAAGCTTAGCAGGTGAGCCTGGAGCTGACTAATGCAGATCAGTGCAGGTAATGGGACTAACGGCTGCTTGTTGTTGTTCTCTGTTTGCTGGCAGATGTCAGCCTCTCCTGGTCTTAGCATCTAGAAACATTCTACTTATTTTCTCTTAATGGCTGCAGAGCTCTTGTGAAGGCAGATTAAGTTGAGATTAAGTTTAGATAAAGCATGTGGATGTCAATAAGCAGCCGTTATATCTCAGTTAAGATAAAGCCGTTGGCTTCTTTACAGCCCGGGTCAAAGGCTCATATAACGAGTCAGCAGACTTTGGTCGGATTGGGTCAAAATGTCCCAAATTGTATTGAATGATGAATAGATGCATTGGACTGAATGGGTTTCACAGAAAGGGTGCTGACCCAAAATCATCAAGACTGATAAGCAACCATTAAGCCGGTCAAGATAAGAAATATAGTCTTTTCAATCATGCAGATGCTTTATGCTGATGGTAAAATCATGTAAGTTCACCCTCTTAAAGATGAATTAACTTCTAAAGAATTCTGGAACTGGTAGACATCTGAATATTCAAAATAAATAATACAATAAAAAAAAATTTCTTTTTGGCCTTTTTGGCACCAAACAAAACTAAAATGGAAATAAAATCCCAAACAGTCTTTGATCTAAGCATTTCATCTTTGCTGTTGTTGTAAAGCTGTGGCCGTTTCTGACGGGGATGTTTTCCCTGGCAAATTCATATTTGTGACCTTTTTCATAATAACAACTTTTCAGCTAAATTGATGGGCAGATTTAAACTACAGTGTGTGCAAGTGAGCTTAACTTTGCCCTGACCTGTTTGTATTTTGTTTGGCGACTAAATGCTACAGGGATAGTGGTTGTCTGTAGGACTGGGATGGCCAACTGGATGTTTTATTTAGTTAGTTTTTTTGGGAAAACTGCACAGAATATTGGTGTTTTAGTT